ACACGTCGCACATGTTCAGATTCCGCGAGTTCATCGAACGCGTTGAGGTTCAGGGTGAGCTGAGCTCCATCTTACTGTAAATTGATATATACCATATGTGGACAAGAGTGCTAGGTGAGTGAAAGAGGACTCCAAAATCGGTGACAAATGCTCACAAAATGAGCAAAGTCGCTAGCTAACTCATCATTTCTTTAACAGTGCGCCGAAATCAGTGATCTTAGATAAGGAGTATTCTGTGCACAAAGTCCCAGGAATTAATATTGAACGCCAACCCAATGGAGATATCAGCAGGGTGATGTTATCCACCAAATTAGCATATGTACAAAACATACCAATGACCTCTCAAGCAGAGCACATGCAGCTGCCTTACCGAAATATAATGGGACAGATGGAGCCGAGCAATGTTCGGCAAGGAGCACGCTATCTTGAGGGAGGCACCGTATATGTGAACGTTGTCAGAGAAGGAGCCAAAAGAATGGAGCTAAATGTCGAACGTAAGATACTGAACGTCATTTCATCGACTTCAAGGGTGTTTCAAAACTCCGTGGACAACATGAGGACCCCGGAATTTCTAAACCACGTAGTTTTCGAGAACGACAATTCGCTCGAACATTAAGCATATCGCAAGGAATACGCATGCAAAGAATGAGAGGTTTTCATGTCCAGTTAAAGTCTCTGTGATTGGAGCATACATCGAGGGATCCGCTAAGAGATAGTATATGCCTTTGTACCAGGGTCTTCATTGAAGACTCTTCAAGGTATACTATAAAGGGTTCAGGTAATGGTCATTGTAGGCTCGAACCAGGGCAGTTACGTCGTCTACAGCCCTTCTTATCTCTGGAGGTGAACTAATATAATTATTTCTAGCCTTCTCTTGAATTTCTCGGGAGGAGATATTGACAGCTGACTCTCGTGTAACTCAACATGGCCCTTCCTGCTATGACAAATATCTTCGGTAGTGATGCAACAATGTCTGTCGAACAGACCAGAACTGAAAATCAGAGTGGGAAGCATCGAAGTACTTACGTACATATTTGGATCACGAAGAGATTCGAGACTCTACTATGGTACGGACTTCGCAATGAACTTCCCAGATTGAATATCGGTTGCGTCACAAGGATACATTGTCATTCAGAGGTATTAAGCGATGAGATGGATATGAAGAATGGAAAAAATAACTGGGATGGATCACAGATCCTCAGGATCTGATCCTGAACATAATGGGATAACTCACACCCAGGATTCCCAACATAAGCTGGTCGAGATAGAGTCTGATTCTCCGCGAAAATCAAGCCGTACTAAGACTGTCAATGGTCACCAAGTATATACCTCACTACTCGCAGATAGCTGATTTACAATCACAGTCAATAAACCCGAGACAATCATCTTTGTTTTGTGGTAAACAGCTCAAGAAGAATAATGGAAACATACAGTTCCCTTTTGTGCAAACGCATTTTCCACCTGGGCATTGAGAGTCATTAGTGCAGCTCTGCGCACCGTTTGCA